CCAGTGGACTATACTTGGCCACTCGCTGGAGTGCAGTACTCGTGCAGTGCTGCTTGGATGAATCTCAATAATGTCTTGCTATGTCAAGAAACTGGAGACAAAAACCGCCTATTGCATGGGCCCATGTAATGATATCTCTACAATAGTGGCTTCAAGGATATGGAAGGTAGACAAGTGACTGCTTAGGGCTGGGGATATAGTCAGGACAGAGTCCGACTGCTAATGGTATGGCCTAGGGGGAACTGGGAATGGTGATACAACTACAAAAATTCAGTAGTTGGTAGCTGTCTAACACTAGACCTTAGCAAAACACTATACACGTGATGAACCATCTTTGAGCTGTATGCATTATATGGACACATTTATAGCATGCTAGTTACATTCTCACTAAAGCAGTTATCAAAAGCATTAAGAAGAAAAACAGAACTTAGGGAACTTTGTTAGGAAAAAACCTGACATTTCATAAAGGAAAATGATTAAATTTACAAAGCACCAAGCAGTGGCGGCACACGCTTTTAATCCTAGCACTCACGAGGCAGAAGCAAGCTGATCTCTGTTAGTTTGAAGAAGCCAGCCCAGTGTACAGAGCGAGTTCTGGGACAGCCAGGGCTACACAAAGAAACCCAGTTTGAAAAAAATATTTCATATATATATATGTATATACTTAAAAATATTATATAATACATGTAAAAATCAAGTGCCACATGTTGAAAGGAATTATTGTTAAAGAGAAAAATTGAAAAATTATAAAATTGAAAATAAAAGCTTAAGAGAGCAAAAGATTTTTGCGATAAAGAGAACATAACTCAAGGACAGCCAAAATTTTCTTTCCTAAAAGGAGGTCAGCAGTGTAAGCCCCGGCTCTGTGTTCCAGACCTCAGCACCCGACAGCCAGCACTGCACAGTAGGTTGGAGGTAGGTTCCCCCATAGATTCCTGCTCAGTGGATGTCCATTTGAGGTCCAGCCCATGACTCACCCAAGGACACCTCCTCTATTCATGACACACAAACCCCACAAGTGGGATCCAAGCTTAATGTAGCCAAACACTGTTCTAAAGCCAGTTAGAAACCAGGTTGATTCTAGCAGAGCAGAGAGAGAGAGAGAGAGAGAGAGAGAGAGAGAGAGAGAATTATAGGAGAACTTGGGGTTGGCCAGAGCAGTGACCTTCATGTCTGTGACCAGATTGTGAGCTTTTTGTGAGCAAGAGAGATGACTTCTTTGTCCCCAGCCCAGGGCAGAGGGGAGTGTCAGTGCAGAACTGAATAGAGACAGGCTTAATCATTACCCAGGACCCCATGCAGAGCAGGAGGAATATACCAGAGCCCAACTCGGAGATTTAACTTTAAAAAGTGATGTGTGATCTCCCTGGCATGCTAAGGGCCTCCCGTTAAGAGTCACAGGATGCTTACTGTTCTCACTCTCCAAGCCACAGTCTTCCTGTCTGTAGCAGTGGATACATATACTCATTTACTGCAGGGCTGCTGTAACAATTGTCAGGTCAGCCCATGAGCGTCTAACCCAGCCTCTAACTCTACCACACCTGCCCTTCCAGAACTGCCAGACATTTATCCCTGCTAAATCACGACTGGAACACTGATATGCTACCTGGTTTTAGACCATCTGGCCTTTCACATCTATTCATCTATCTGTAAATGGGTCAATGCACAGACCATTCCACGCTGGCCTGCTGCCCAAAGAGCGACCATTCATTTTCAGGACCATCACAGGGCTGTCCGCATAGACATAGAGGTTATTTACTTCCACCCAATGAGAACAGGGGGCCCCTAAAGGACCCCAGACCAGACTAGCACCTTTGCACTCATCCTTTCTTCTCTGACACACCCTCCCCCAAAGCAGCTCCCCTCCCCCCTCCCGCTCCTCCTCCCACCATTTCTTCCACCAGCCCTTTGGCCATCGAGAGAGTGGAGATGATTCTGATGGGGCTTCCTCTTGGAGCCAATAGTGGGTTTGCTGCTGATACTCCTAAGACAGGGTACCCCATGGCATTTTAAAAATGCCTGTCTGCTGTGACAAGTGGGGCACAGAAAGAAAGGATGAAGCCAGCGGGAGAGGAAGCTACAACTGCCCGCCCTCCTCCCTCTCGCTTTCCTCCCTCTCCCTTCTGCATTACATTTACATCCTAGGCAGACAGCAGCCTTCATCCAACTGCCACCCCAGCAGGCAGCTCCCACAGACAGGAAGAAAGTGAAAACAGGAGGTGGGAAGGGGGCTGCAAAAAGGGGGAGGCAACAGACAGAGGGAGATTCTTCCCAAGTTTTAAGTAGCAACATTTGGCCCAGGAGTCTGGTTGTGAGAAGTGCTGGTGGCTGTATGTGCTGCCAGACACTGGGAGCCTCGGTGGTCTCCAGCCTCTGTTAGAGAGATGGGCTTGGGTTAGTAGAAAGGGCCAGTGGGGAGCTAGGCGAGCCTGTTAGCCCAGCACTTGGGAGGCTATGAGGTCAAAGCCAGCCTGGACTACAATGTAAAACCAGCTCAAAAGAGAGACAGAGAGAGATAGACAGACAGAGGCAGACAGACAAAGACAGACAGAGACAAGACAGAGACACCGACACACACACGCACGCACACACAGTCAGACAGACAGAGACACAGAGAGACAGACACACACACACCACACACACACACACACACACACACACACACACACACCCCTACCCCTGAAAGGAGGTAGACAACAGGAGCTCCTAGGCACCAGCTGTCTCTACTGCCACCCACACCCCACACCTACCCCTGCCTGTCTCAGCTCCCATGGGCAAAGGTGACTAACTGGAGATAGCCTGGAATCAATTTTGAGAAGCCAAACAGTCCCCAGTCCTGGTCCCGTGCATCCACAGCTGTGGGAAGTGAGCACACTGTGTCTGTGGGGCCTGAGATGAGGAGGCTGTCTCTAGCTGACAGGCAGAGGGGCTTTGGGGTGGGGTGTAATTAACCAAATGGATTCATTTGTGAAATTGAAGGCCTGGGGAAGCTGCATGGTTTTCCTGTGTCAGAGGACAGGTGTCTGCTCTGAGGGACCACAGCTGACAATGAGTTGAGGCCCTGGGCTCAGGGAGGTTCCTCCTGCTGGGATGGGAGAAGAGGGGAAAGGGCAAGGCTCAGAAGCAGATGACTGAGGCGGCTCCAGATGGCAGTGGGCTGAGAACAAAGGGAGAAGAGACAGAGGAGACCTGAAGGGCAGGCCTCCTTCCTGAGAAGGCTTCCCAGCTGGAGCCACCAAGTCCCAATCACATCTGGGACCCAGAGGACAAGTGCTTGGAATCACCATGCAGTCCCTGAAACCCAGACAAAGCAAGCTGGTAACACCCTCTGCCCCAAACCTAAAGTGAGCCACAGAGATCCCAGAGTGCTGGGATACAAAAGCAGGCATGGCACCATCTCAGGTGAGGCGCTGGCAAGTCCTTAGCCTCTATGACTTGGATTCTGTCACCAGGAAAAAGTGAGTACTAAGGTGTCTTGTCTGGAAGGACTGCCGTGAGAGAACATGGGAGAAGGATGTGTGTACAGAACATGAGTCCCCACATGCAGGAACAAATAAACACTATGGTAAGGATGACCATTGTCACTGGCCAGGAACCCAGGAGGGTCCTCTTCTCACAATGGTCACATGCTGTTTGCGTGTAGTTTCTGCATTCTTTCAGGTTCTTCTCTATCCGTCAGTCTTTGGAAGGTGTTTCCTCTTCACTACGTCTGGCTATGCGTGTGACCACATGGCAAGAAAACCAGCCCTCTACGGCACACTTAGTGAATGTGATGAAAGAAGAAAAACAGAGCCAGTGCTGAGGACCGCTGACTCAAAGAGCACATCTGAGACACAGCTGCACTGAGCATGCTCAGATCAGGGACCTTCCTATTGAGTTCCAGAGCTGCTGTTGGGCAGTATCACACTCAGTGAGCTCCGGGCTCCAGTGTGTTTGTGCAGCAAGAAGGCCAGAAAGGGACTCTAGGAAAGTAGATTAGAGAGCAGGAATGGTAACAAAAAAGTGCCTGAGGGGGCTGTGGAGGCCGAAAGCTGGACTAGCTCTTTGAGTCTGCTGAATACTGGAGAACTATTCCCATAGAGCCCACTGAAAGAGACTAACGCCACTCTTGTCATCCTTCCACGTGTAGGTACACATGGAAGTATAGTTCCTAATGATGGTGGGATGAAAAAGCTCCCGGAGTCAGGTAAATCTCCCCAGAGGTCCCCTAAGCTGACAGTTCTGTGGTCCAAAGGGGGCCCTCATGGAGGCTACGTGGATCTCCACACCATGTCACCCTCATTCACCCTGTCTTTTTCATCTTTTCCTTTGCCTCCTCAGCCGCTGGGAAGACAGAGCCTCTGAGGACGCTAGAGCAAGATAGACACTGCAGACATGATCAAACTAAAAAAGAAAAAGACCTTTCTCTGCTCAGGTGCCTTAGCCCCTCTCCCCGACAGCCTCCTGGCTTGTCCTCTTCCATCGGCTGCTCTGATGAAAGCAAAATCCTCCTCCATTCTTGTATGTTGGCCTCCACCCTTCCTGGGGAAGGCAGGTGCTGCCAGGGCAGTAGAAACTACTCCAGAAGAGAACAATGCAGACCCTGGACTCAGGGTGTGGCCTCAGTGCCGGGGAGCCTCCCTGCTCTTTGCCCCTGGGCAGTCATCCATCTGCCAAGGCCCCAAGCCCCACCCAGAGGAGGGGCTCTCAGACTGTCCCCCATATGCCGGAGCTGTCTTAGGAAGTTCCCAGGGTGTGGAGGCCCAGGCAAAAGGCTGAGGATCATTAACGAACCAATTGTTCAATTAAGGTGGACAGAAGAGACAGTGACAGAAACTCAGACCAGCTGACTGCCCCTCCTAGGACAGCACTGCCTCCCTGGAGGGCGGGCCTCTGAGGAGAAGAAAGATGTGGAGTCCTCGAACATTCCTGGGGCCAGATAAAGAGCCTGGGAGAGGGGGAAACAATGTCCATTCCCACTCCACCCTCCAACTCAAGCTCAGGCCAGGTCCCATGCATACCTTCTCTGCCTCATTCGGCCTGTTTCTCGAAACACCAGGGGAGGCTCTGCTCCCGTCTACACAGGGCAAGAAGACTCCAGGCTCCCAAACTGCACATAAGTCAATCAACCTGTCCCAAAGCAAACACAGAAAAGAACCCAGGGTTACTCCAGGTATGTGTGTGGGAAGACGCTGTGGTTTTTGAACTTTTAAGTCACTCAGAAAATGATATCTTCGTCTACATCCATTTGTAGTTCCGCAGAACATAAAGGTATCTTTGTTCGCTCTGCAAGAAAACGGCAGAGTGAGTGTGCAAGGTGCTTAAGTTACTGGCCTTTGGGACTAGTGGTTTGCTTGCCCATACATGAATTACACCTTAGTGATCGAACGCCACAATGGAATTACTAACTCCCCTTGACCTGAAAGGAGTTAAGTTATCGATGGAAGAGTCTCTCCCACACTCAAGGGAGAATTTATCCATAAATGTCTCATTAATTTCTTAACTTCCTTAGAAAAGCCACCATGTTTTTTTTTTCCTATATCCAGAAAAACAAACAAGTTCATTACAATATCCATAGCATCAAGGAGAGAAAGCTGACAGAAAACAAAACAAAACAAAACAAAACAAAACAAAACTGTGGCACACTGAAAAGGATTCTCACTTTATCTTTAAGTTCTAGCATTAGATATGACTGTCAACAAGAGTGGGGCTTTGCCTATGTGTGTATTATATATTATTTCATCTGTAAAATGGGGAGAAGATACGACAAAGTGAAACAGTAAGCCACTGAGAGCAGCCAGTTAGCATCTGGGAGGTTCAAGTCCTGAGACGTCAGTCTTGAGTGTCAACTTGGGTAGAGAAGAAAGCAGTGAGCACACCTCTGGGTGTGTCTGTGTGGGCATTTCCAGAGAAGATCAGCTCGTGAGAGCTCTCACCTGAAGGATGACTTAATCCATCGATGGATTCAAAGGCTAAACAGACAATTGGGAGGTGATGGAACTGTGGAAAGTGGGGGCTGCTTGGAGGAAGGAGGCTACGGGGACTGAATTCTGTCCCAGCCCCTTCCTGTTCTGGCTCCACTGTGCTTCCTGGCCGCCCTGGTTGAGCAGTTCTGCTTTGTCGTGCCTTCCCTGCCCCTGGTGAGCTAAATACAGCTTGCCTCTCTCAAGTGGTTTGTGTCAGGTATCTTGTCACCCTGGTAGGAAAGCCTGACTAACAACAAACACCCGCACTAGTTATTTCAAGCAAATATCTAACTTTTCTTAGTTAATACATCTCATAATACAGATGACACTCTCATCTGAAGTCTGCAGGAATGCTAACCTCTCGCAGAGTGAGTGCAGTGTCTGCAGCTCCCCAGCATACTAAGGAGGCCTTTGGCCTTTGACTCGGCCATCTCAGCAGTAGGAATCTACTCAGAATATGCCCTTATATTGTGTTGGAAGCCTGTTGTGACTTCCAGGGTCAAGGAGAGAAAGCTGACAGAAAAAAAGAAGAAGAACAAGAACAAGAAGAACAAGAAGAAGAAGAAGAAGAAGAAGAAGAAGAAGAAGAAGAAGAAGAAAACCAGTATGTTTAGTATGTTACCATTTATTTTAGAATGGGAAAGAGATACAAAAGTGCACATGTATATGGTTGTATTTTTACAAATGCTTAAAGGACAAAGCACAAATTACACATTTCCCATGAGGGAAATGGAGAAGCAGGGATAGGGAATAGATTTTTAAAAGCACTTTCTTTCCCTTGTGGCTTTGGAATACGCAAATATGTGATGTAATTATAAAGCATAACAAAATATTTAAAACCCCTAAAAATGAAATTAAAATGCTGTACATAGATACATTAAAATATGGCAATTTGGCTATATTTTGTCTTCAGGAAGCAAAGAATTGCCCCTTTCCTCCCAAGAAATTCTAACTAGTTTCCATTCATCAGGTTATAGTTGCTCCTGCCCTTTTAACACTGGATGAAATGGTGTGAAAACAAATCTTCGCACAACTATTTTGCTGCTGGTTCAAAACCAGAGATCAGTTCTTCCTTATGGAACCATTATGAGATCAATCAAGGGCTGTGATTTGAAGACTGACAGACAGACATTAGAGAGTACAATTACACCCACCACCAACACTTTCATCATCATTCATGGGGCTTTGGGGCTAAGAAGTGAGATTTTGAATTCAGGGAACAGTCTCAGGGACAGGACTCTTTGGACCCAGGGATAGCAGGCTTCCAGGAAGGACACCTGACACACCTAACCACACGGACACCGATAGTATACGGATGGCAAGAGCAGCCGCTGTGGATTTCAGAAGGATGGGAGCATGGTGAGTTTGCTGTGTGCTCTAGGAATTGCCCAAGAATTTGGAAGGTAGCAATGGCATGTAGAAGACAGCACCCACTGCTCTGCATGAAGTCTGGGCTGGGGGAGGGGAGGGATGGTACAGCAGATGCTCCCAGCAGCAGGAGGACCAGGCATGTCAGATGATGAGCATTCTGTGACTGTCTTTCCCTCTGCCACAGAAATGCTGGCACAGAACACTCTCTAGACGCTCACCTGGGAATCCCAAGGTGCCATAAGCACACACTGCCTAGGACGAGCCCCAGATCTCATGGCTTTTCACTGCTGCTCTTGCTCCCTGTGGAGACACAGTCGGTGCTCAGAGAACAAGATCCTTCTCTCTGTTTCTTTCTCTTGCAGAGACAGTTAAAGATTTTTTTTTTCTCACTTATTATTTGAGTAGCTAATCCCACACACGGAGATACAAAAGAATACATTGTAAAAATAGATTTTATTTGTAACTGTCCCTCCCAAGCCTGCCTTCATCCAGCTTCCTAAGTACTATTCACTCAACTGTTGTAGGCCAGCCACTGTCGACAGACACTACGCACCCTTCCAGAGTCTGTGCACACTTAGATGGGTATGAAAACAAGAGATGGCTGCAGTAGCTCACACTTTCAATCCTAGCATTCAGGTGCTAGAGGAAGAAAACCATGACTTAGGGACAGCCTGAGCTACACGGTGAATTTGAGGCCTGCTTGGACTAGCTACACACTGAGATTTTTGTCTCAAAAAAATGAATACTGGGGCTGGAGATAAGGCTCAGCATTTAACAGCATTGCAGAGGACCTGGGTTTGGTTCCCAGCACCCACATGGTAGTTTACAATTGTTCTTAACTCTAGTTCCAGGTGATGTAGCACCTTCTTCTGGCATGCTCAAGCACCAGGTACCCATGCACATACATACATGCAGGCAAAAGCTCATATACTTAAAATCAAAATAATTTTTTTAAAAAATAAAATAAATATTATTCAAGTTTTCCTACCTTGCTTCCCAACCCCAGTTAATAAATATCCCAGATATTACCCTGTATTATTTCACATAAAGCTATCACATTAACAGAAGCCTAGCGTTACAAGATGAGAATATATCACTTGCTTACTTTGCCCTTTCTTGAGGGACAACTGAGTGGCTTATAACTACTTGATATGAAAAACGGCTTTGACATTTGTCTTTGGTAAATGTGAATTCTTACCTTTGCAAGACTATATTTAGGATCAATTTACTGAAACGATGGTTTTATTTTATTTATTATTGTGTCTCTGTGTGTGTATGATGTGTATGAGTGTGTGTACACATGTGCCATGGTGGTTGTATGGAGGTCAGAGGACATCTCTGTTGAGTGTGCTCTCTCCTTCTATCATGGGACCCACGGATCGAACTCAGTCATTAAGCTTGCAGTTTTACCCACTGAGGCATCTCACCTGCTCTCTGAGATCAATTCATGAATGTAGACTTTTGAATAGCAGAGAATTTGGCTAGCTTACTCTCCATGAATCGCACCTTGCTCTCCCACCGCAGCGAACAGGAGGGCCTCGAGTCTCCACTCCTAACAAACTACATCACTGGTGTTTGTCTTTCTGTTTCTGGATGTCTGATACACAGAAATTGGTATCTCTTTCCTGGTTTTTTTCCTATTATGAGTTAGGGTAAACATCTTCATTTTCTTTGAATTGTTCCTGTTCTGTTTGAAGGAATCTTTACTGAGAAAATTACTTCTTTTTAGGGGAAATACAAACCACTATACCATGTAGTGTTTTTGGCATGAAAAATCTCTTCCTAGCTCAACAGACCTTTTATTTTTGTCAGTATTTTGTGTCAGACACAGGCTTTCTTTTTTCAAAGTTATCTTTAAATTGTACCATGTTTCTGCTAGCAATTTTGTACTGTCATTATCTGTGATTAATCTTTTATCCACCTGAAACTTCCTTTGAACTTATGTGAGGAAGAATCTAGTGTTATCAAGACTGTTTTCCCAACACTGGTTATTGAAGTGTTCACTGTTTACCTTGATTTAAATATTGTCTTTGGGTCAGTGACGGTAGCTCTGTGAGTAGAGTCATCTGCCATGCCCATATGAGAAACTGAGCTCAGATCTCCAGAACCTATGTAAAGCTGGCCCAGGAGCACACACCTATCACACCAGCACTCTTACAGAGAGACAGAATAATCCTTGCAAGTCATAGGCCAGCTAGCCTAGTGTACACTGCAGTGAACAGCGAGAGATCTTCTCTCCAGCTCAGTGGGAGGTGAAGACCAACCTGAGGCTCTCCTCTGACCTCACGTGTGCCATGGCATGTGCCTGCCCATACTCGTACATCCAAATATGCACACATAGTCACGCATGCATCTCACACATACACAAAGGCAAAAAGAAACCACTAAGTAAATAGAGGAACAGAATACTGGGTGTAGGGGTGAAAATGATTAAGCAGGAATGGGGAGGAAAGAAGATGAAGGAAAGGTTAACCAAAATTAAGGACATAAGAAAAAGCCATTTGGAAATCTGCCATTTTTTTTTAAAAAAATATGATTCTTTTTAAAAAGAACTTGATGGAGAAATCCTGCAGAGGTGAATAATGTAGCCTCCATAAGCCACGAGTTAGGAAATGAAAACCCAGTGCCAGGTATAAGACACCTTCCTATAAATTGTTTGTCCAGGAGGCCTAGAGGCCTCCAAAATAACACAGGCTGTTTCCATTGCTTTTGGTTGGCTACCAGGACTAGATGGCTACAGATATTCAGAAGTAGGTTGCTGGACTTAGAGAAATTAGTATTTTTTTTCCTTAC